TAAGATTGATTTTAGCACTCGTCAGTGTTAGCCCTTAGCTTTTATGTACTGTAACGGCTGAGGAAAATCTGTAAACATGAGCAAGTTACTGTATTTGTATCCTATGAGCATCGAATAGAAAGAACTGGAACAATTTTTTTTCTTTCTACTGATGTAATTGCAGAACTATTGTAGGCATCGAATTCTACAAAAACTGTGATAAAAAGTAAAGGTGGTCCTTGATCTTCTTTAAATAATATATCATAGACTGTTTCTATTGCACCATTAACTAACCCAACTTCTACATACAGGTTCACCCTGAGCATAACGTGAGCTCCTCTAGCTAACAAAAGTTGTGATTCAAGGCCTTTTGCCACATCTGAATCAGTTCACGATACTTCATTACCACCAGTATGAACAGCTTGAATCCTAGCAATAGGTCTATTTAATGATTTTAATATGTTAATATTAATTTCCTCAACTTCAACCTTTCGAGGTAAGATTTATATAGCAGTTGCAAATTGTTAAGAATCTATTGACATTATGTTAGGAGATCATTTGAATCATGTGCTAAGTGTCTTTCAATCATCAATTGTCGATTCATCATCCCATAACCGTATTAAAATATTTCTAAAGTGATACTGTTCATTTGAATCCTCTGCTTGATACTGAACAATATCAAGTTGATAAACCTCCTGAAACTGTCTATAAGCTGCAATACTATCATTTGATAACGTATCATGACTAATGGTTTGACAATACATAGGCAAATCAAGCACTAGTAGAAGTTGGCCAAAATTACTAACTAATATTACCAATCGACCACCAAAAGGTTGATTCTGATTTTTAGGAAAGGTTTGACATAATTGCGTGTCAATTAAAGCAAGTATGCGGCGTCCGACCATGCTTTTCTCGTCGATTATTATATATTTCACACTATTCAATTTTTTTTGTAGCTGCTTTAAACTTTTCTCTCTTATATTGAAATCAGTACCATTTACTGGAATAGAAAGTGCTGAATGAATGGTTGTCCCATGAATATTAAATGCTGCAACTCTAGTTGGCGCAAGCACAATAATAGGAGAGTTTTCAACATTATTTCTCTTTGCTATCTCTCAAAGTAGTTGTAGAATTGTGTTAATCAGGTACGACTTGCTAGTTCCCGCAGTTCCCATGATAATTATTCTTAACAGCTCAATACTAACACCCATAATAATACTATTATAATGTGACTCAAGTCGTTTAAAAATCTTCAGTTGATTTTTATTTAAGGTTTGGTAATCTATAGCATTATTATATAAATTTTCTTCATTATTAGCATCGCTGCTATGAATTTGCTATATAAACGTATCTACATCATCAAAATTTAGGTTTGAAAAATTTCACCTGACATTACCGACCCAGTCATAATTTCAATCTGCATAACTTAAACCCAACCCAGAAGAACTATCGACAATTGTATTCGAGCTTATTTTAGCTAAAATTATCCAATCGTCACGAATTTCTCTATTATATATTTCTGATTGCTCATCCTCATCATCAATCTCATTAGAAAAGTTTTCCAAATTTTTAATAAATAACTCAAAAAGATCAGTTAGCCTGTCTTCTATCTCTGCAAGATGTCAATTAAAAAGTTCAGCCCATGTGACAGTATGATTTTCAGTTAGCTATTCAAGATTTCTGTGATATACGTGAAGTAAGACTTTTATACAGCAAAATTCTTCTCACTGAGGGCCATTTCGTTGGGATGATGGTCTTGGCCAAATACATATGATGTTTTCACGATTACATTTCTTCCACTTACCATTACAAAACTTATATCCCAGATATAGTTGAAATAGGGAGGGATTTTTAAGCTCAACAGATCTACTTCAATATCTTTGTAAAGGAGATTGTATTGTATGTCCAGTTTGACTTGCTGACACAAAATTCTCATTTTCAGTGCTACAAAGCCACCAAGACGATTCTTTGTTAAGATTTAAGGTTATAAAGCACTAACTAAAATGATAAAGCAGAATACCAAAGAGAAGATGGCATATTTCTTGTGCTGATATGTTATATTCAGCAACTGTATAGAGCAATAGTCATTGAAAGGCACCAAGAGAAGAGTCTGAAGGTTTGCTTTCATGAAGAATTTTATTTAATAGTTCTGTGAAAGTTGTAGAATATGGCTCTGATTTACTTGCATATTTAGCCACATATTGAAGAGCAGCATGAATATTTAAAATAGGCTTTAGATCAATATTTGCATACCATCCCTGAAGCTGAAGCTGATTATATGGATTTATGTAAGGATTGTTTTGTGTTGTGAAGAGTTCCGAATGGCCATTGATCTCACGAATAATGGTATGCTCTGTAATATCTTTAGGGAATCCAAATCGATATTGTTGCTAACCCTTCTTTACATGAAGACAATATGCAGAACTATATCATATATGATGTTGAAGTTTGTTAATAATCTCAATATAATCTTGTAAATTATCAGATAATTCTTCACTGCTTTTTTAGCATGGGTAACGATTAGATACAGGTGCGTTGAGTTCAGGATTAATTATAGTAACTAATGAATTAAAATGATTAATTATTGTATTCATTTCTTCTTTATTATTTTTTATCCTTTTCCAATCGAACTCAGGCGTATCTTTCATTTTTTTGATACTGAGTATATGAATGCTGCCACTATGCTGCCATTCGAATCTATACCAATAATCCTCTAAAGCCCACTTAGGAACTAAAACCTTTTCCAAGAATACTTTGAATCTTTTTTTAAAAAACTAGGCAGCGATTTGAGGATTATCTATTAAATCTTGACGATGATGTTTATTTGCATCTTGTTTTGATTTGCTATCAATTGGATGCTCACCATGTGGCATGAGCTTATGAAGTTCTGGCCAGTATAAATCAGCTATGCTAAAAGTGAAGAAAATCGTCCTACGTGTTTTTAACTGTTTGATCATATCTGACAATTCAAAAAGTCATCTTTTCCAGAATTGTCATGTTCCAC